GGTAGTGTTCAGGCTGAATACTACCGTGTCGTCACAGGACACGTTGCACAAGTGCAGGGAATGCGCATAAAAGTGCCACCAGCGCAGTGACTTTCGCAACCGATTCTCGCACCCACCCGGCACTGCAACCCGTGACGTCATCGACCATGCCCTGTTGCGCCGCTCCCGGGAGGCAAGCCACCCCAGAAACAGAGCCTTGAACAACGGGCTCTGTGATGGCAGGCATTGTCGTAAGGTCGCTTCATACCTTAGCAGAATCCGTTTCTCAAGTGCAAGACACGCGTCAGCTGGCATCACCAGCGCCGTGGCTTGGCGACGCTTTCTTGCACCCGCCCGACATGCGTACGCCTGGTGAGCTCCTAGCATGCGCGGTGATGTGCCGACGAGTTTGTGCGTGCCCCTGAGAAGGAAGCGTGGCAATAGAGATTGGCTACCGCCAGAGGAAGATGTTCCGGGGCACCAATCACATCGAAATGATAAATACACATTACGCAAATATGCCGGATAACGTACAGGTTTCCCTTCAGAGACAAAGTACAAATCCCCCTCGGTAAAAAAACGTTTCTTGTGGTGATGTGATTTTTTTATTTTTTTGTATCGGCGGTGTGCCGCTTCAGGCACAGAGTGTGATTGGAAACCTGTGCCTTGGAGATCGATCAAACCTAATGCTGTTTTCTTTTGTCATAGGTTTGCAAATAAATAGCATGTTTTGGCCGCGAAATTCGACACGGAAAAAGAGAAAAGCCCCTCGGCAAGAAATTCTCCAGGAACGACTGGAACGGCCCCTTACCTCTTGTAGCAGAGAGGGACTGTCAACTAAACGGGCCAAGTTGAGAATAGTGGTTTTAGCAACCCTTCGTTAAGATCTGCACTCGTTCGGTCCAAGCCTGAAAGGGTACCTTAGCCTTCAAGCGGCAGTCGGTTTCAAGTTGCGAGCTGGTGCTGCGTATTCTGTTGATGGGTGCATTCGTGTTTCGTGTTTATTCGTGAGACCTTCTCGGTGTCTGGAGGTCTAATTCGCGTTGATTTGCAGCAGCGGTAGCAGCATTTTCGTTGGTGTCTTTTCTGCGTTCAAAAGACGTCTATTGTACGTCGCATTGTGTAGTGGTAGGCACGCTTCAGGTGCTACCCCTCTGCCTCTCACGGGCTGCTGTTTCTCCGGTCTTCTCCCCAACATTGTCAAAGAGTGTATCGTATCCAAACACGTGTTTGGCGGACTCGACGCCCCTTGTTCACGATGCGGATACATGTGCGAGGGGCATGAAAAGTTGGGCCATGGGCGGGGGGGATTTGCGCCTATCCCTGTCGCCAACAGCAGATGGACAGTGTGTTGATTGGCCCCAAGCCTAGTGCTGCTGGATGAGCACGGCTGACCCGGTTGACAAACGTGAAGAGATGGTGAAGTCGTTTTTATTGGTTGCCCTCGTAGACGCAAGCAACGGAAGAGAGTGGGCACCAGGGTACATCACAACGGGTACTCATAGTAAACTCCAAAAGAAAACAATGCAAACGAAGAGAAACCCAGCCACAGGATCAAAACCAACCGCCCCCAAGGTCAAATACTGCTGGTTGACTTGTCACCACATAGTCGACGCAGCAGTCACCAAATTGCAAAACTTCTCGCTCACAAATATTGCAAACCTACCGTTTACCAATATATCAGACATTTTTTTACTACTCCTTCCCAAGCAGCTCCCTACCAGCAACATGATCCCTACTGTTTCAAGCTGCTGTCAGCACCGGGGTGGCCTACAACCCCAGGCACCAAAGTCAATCCGCAGCCGAAAAACGTGAACTAACGGTACATCGCTCTTGTGAAAAAAGGGCAAAATCAACCAAATCGTAGGGAAGGGTCCCCCCCTCAACCTATACATCAGTGGAAGATCAACGCTGTGTCTCAATCAAAACAGCGCGTCAACCAACTCGTCGATGCCTGCGAAATGTGAGAGACGCTGGTCGCCGTCTATCCCGAAAGAGGGTCATACGTCAGCCCTCGCTGATTTCAGGCAAATTACCCGGCCTCAAGTAGGTGAAACAAAGGCTGAGAAATAGTTCCGAACATCATCAATCAAATTGGTGTGATAGCAGGGCCCCGCGGATCACCATTCCTCAATGAGACAACAACGGAATACAACACCATCATCAGTGTTTCATCGTGCAAGGAGCCTTTTTTCTCAACCTGCGCGGCTGGTTACTGAGATGAGCATGGTATACCGGAGAAGCAACATCGAGCTTCGTGGACTGCGTGCGTATCCCGATCAAAACACAAGAAAACAACGAGCGAAGCAGAAGGATAGAATAACACACCAAAAAAAAATCCACATCGTTGTACTTTCAACAGTCGCATCGTCAGAAACGGCTCTTTACAGGAAAATGCCGTCAAGCGAAATTGCACGCAAGGCACGCAAGGGGATGGACGTTGGTTGGTTTCACCACGGGGAAAACAGATCGAGAGAACATCAGAGTATCAGAATGCTTGGTATGCGACGTCCAACTCGACAGCACCAACTTCAACTTCAACTGCGGTGACTGCGGTCTCACTCGTAAATATCGATGGGCAGCTCTTCGCGTTGTGCCCCTTTTCCCGCACTTCTGGCAAAGCTTCTCTGGGCACGCACTCACATCGTGGTTCCCATCACAGATGTAGCACCTGACTGACTTCTTATCGTTGGCCAAGTGTGACTCTTTTTCCCCTCCTGTCTGCTTCGACCTTCTTTTGCCTCTCCCCTTCCTCTCTACTGCTACGAACGCACGATGCGCTCACTGCACACTCTTTGCCTTCGTCTCCTCCATTTTCAGTTGCACAGCCCGTGTACGCAATACTCTCAAAGTCTCTTCATCATCGAGTGTTTTCTGGGCGAGCAGCTGTTGCTTTTGAAGTCCGAACTCCGGGGAAAGCGCGTCGAGGAAACGCGCGTAGACAAGCACTTTGGGGATGGGCTGGTCGAAAGCCAACTCTTGGCTGGTCACTATGGACTTGAACTCCTGAAAAATGTGGACGGGGACTGGAGGGAGCGAGAGGACTGCTAGGCCCGGCACCACCAGGAGAGCCCACGCCATCTGAGGGAGGCGTCTCGCGAGAAAGCGCACACAGTGAGCAGACCGCACGGCATGCTTCCAACTCTCACGCCCGGATCCCTCGCCTGAAGCAACTGAACTTTGATGGTCACGAGAAAAACTGGATGATATCCAGGAACGATTTTTACTACGCAAGTACAAACATGTCGAATGGGTCGTGCCCTGAATGACAGCAGGGACATTGTGGTCCTCGTGTCCACGACTAAATTCTTCTCGCATCA